ATAGAATAATATATATGCAATAAACTAACATGTGCTCATAAATTTAACAGTGGTAGAGACCCCTTTAACATCTTCGCACGAATAGGTCGGGACGCCCGGTGCAATACCACGACCACACAGAAGACAGACGTCAAGTGGAAGTAATTTAGCGTTTCGTCTGATGAGTGTGGCACTTTAAGGAAGTGATTGGATGGGAAAGTCGATTTGACGGTGGAGGAGACGCATAGGAAGGGAAAATTTCCTCTTTATGTGCATCTCATCCTTCGTCTATTTAGCATTTTAGGTGCAGCGGTCGCTTCTTGTTTGTCACTTTTTTGAATAATAAAACAATATATGCACATAAACTAATATGTACACATAAAATAACAAATGCGCATAAAATATGTGCACACAGAATAATATGTTCACATAAACTAACAAGTGCACTTAATCTAACATTAGCACATATTCTGACATATGCATGAGGATATGTATCCTGACATGTGCACATATAAACAAACTTGTGCATACATAACCCTAGACATTAACAACGTAACATGTCCACAAATAACCTTTTTGCCTTAATATTTTATGATTAGTAAGAAAAGTACAATAAATATCAAAATAACGTAAACTACTTGTCAATTCCAGTGATATGTGAAGATGGAACTTTCCACAAGTTCACATTTTCAGCCGAAGGTAACTGCCATCGAAACGATTTTGAATATTTTTTGCAGGTAAGATATTTTCATTATTATAATACTGGCTTTCGCCCGCGACTCCTGCCGCATGGAATTAAAAAAAACTAAATGACCTATGTGTTCTTCCAGACTCCTTATATTATAAAAAAAAGTTATTGATTTTTCGAATATTTTACATTTCAGGTGGGCGATGATGATGAATTCCTGCATTGATTTTAACGTAAATAACTTAAAATTTGTACTAAGAAATGTTATCGCGTAAGAAATGATTCGACAAATTTGTAATTCAACAAAAAGCCTCGTTTGATGAATCTTTTTTATCGTGCTGAATGTATAATCTGTGGTATTTTGCTACTGCGCAATGTTGCCATAGATAAATGCAGGGTCAAAGATTATTTTAATAATAAAATTTTGAAATGTGAAAATTGGAAAATGTATCTGTATAAATAATCTAAAAAAAGTGGTCGCCTATTTTAACAATATAACCTCAATGCACAAACATATTATAATAATTTAAGATTTTAAAATTATACTGTAAATATAATAAAATTGAAGCAATCTGCCAATAATTACTTAAGAATATATTCAAATGTTGCCATATCCACTGACATCGATAATAATATCGATTCCCATTCAGATCGATTTTTTATTAAACCTAAATATTGGGCAATTATTTCCCACTTGACACTTATTTTCTTTTTTATCGCTTTAAGGTTATTTTTTTTCATATTTGAGTAGTAGCAAAATCCACAAAAAATAATTTTTGCACATAAATGGCTTTATAACACTTTAAAATCTTAGTTAATATTAAGGAGGAAATACATATGCCAGTAAAATAATAGTCCATGCCAGCTACTGGCATGCTTGAACCAGAAGCTGGCAAGTGTACTACTAGCCCGTGTATTCCCGGCCTTAAATTACCATATATCTAATATAAGTTAATTTTAGATTTCCTTACATTTTATATTCCAAGTTTATCGAAGTTTTTAAGATTCCGTAATTCGGTTGTCAATGTTTCGGTTATTTTTATTTCATAAAATAGTTATTATTGATTAAATTTAGTTAGATTTAAATTGAAAGCTGTTTTTGTAACTTTATTTACTTGATTATAACCAATTATATAAATTGTACAATTTTTTTAATAATATAACAAGCAATATTAATTACAGTATGACATTTGACTAATTTGAAATCGACATGTTTTAGAATTAAACTGACAAATTCCAATTTTAAATTAACAACGGTCAATTTCAGTCAAACATATTGTTGTTTCACATTGAGATCTTAAGGTAGGGGACTACCACGAAAATCTGTGGGAAAATAACCGTAACGTCATCGATAAAATTTGGATCGAAATACGCTGACAAATCTCATACATTTTTCTCGCAAATTTTTGTATTAGGACTCCTAGGTTCATTTTAAACAGCTATAATTTACATCTATTAAGAATATTGAAAATTGTCGTTCAAATTAGGGCATTATGTAAAATTGAATATTCTGGATAATACCTAAAAATAACGGTACTAAAATTGTATTGCCATAAATCAAATCAAACAAAACGAAGCTAAATTTAGAAGCTACCTTTTATATGAGCTTATAAACGCTAGTGTTTGCTGTTTAGATTAACGAAAAAAAATGGGAACTGGTAACACGAAAATTTTCGATTATGTATTTGAAATTGTTTGAAAATACATAAAGTAGTTACGAATACTATCTCGAAAATTTTCGTGCTAGTCGGTGAATTAAAATGATGTGTAGGCTTAAAAGACTTGTAGTCAAAATCTTTTGTTCAAAATATTGAAGAAATAAGGTACATTAGATAATTACATTTAATTATAAATATATGACGGGTTAATGCAACGGATGTATGGAGTTTAAATTATTACGCGCAATGTACATATGTAATGCGTTTCATATAGATTTTTATATATTTATCATTAATGCAATATTGTGCAATTTTAATTATTCATTGGGTGAGTTTAATATATTTTTTTTATAATTATAAACAAATTTAAAGTACCATTATGCATTTGCTCATATTTAGTATATAATTGGTAAAAGGTAAATTTAAAATGTCTGATTACTCTCAGTACAGGTCAAACTTTCGTGTCTTATATTTTAAGATATATATTTTTTGTTAAAGTTTTAGTGAGATGTTTGAAATGAGAGAATTAAAATAGGATTTCTGTATGAAAGTATTGTATTATCTACATTATGAAGATAAATAATATAATGTTTGTTTATTATGTAAATATGAATTGCATCTAGTTTTTATATTGACATAGATTTAGCTATATGTCTGCTTGCGTTTGAATATACATTTTCGGCTACAAAGCACACATTAAATGTAAATACGAAATTTAAGATTATTTTTTATATAAATTGTGACAAGACTCCACTGTTTTGTATAGGCATTAGGGTGTGGAGATATACCGATATATTTTATTTGCAATTTTCACAATAAAAATCTTTTATATTTAAATGCATTTTTAATTATAGTGTTCAACGGAGGGTTGCTACAGTTTGTGCTGCTTCCATATATCTCTACCAGCCGTCACATCTGAATCCACTCCTTTCTTAAGTATATCCTCTCTCACAATATGTCCACACATTCTTCGGTCCTCCTCTACCTTTATAGCCATCATTAGCAAATATGCATTTTTAAATAACCCCAAAATACTGAAATAAATTACCCATTGTAATAAATAAAAATTATCTTTAAAGGAACTTTTTTATTTTAAAATTAACAACAATTTTTAAAATTATCACTATATACATAAACAAATATCCTTTATTCACTGTCAGCTTTCTTACGGCCAAATGGATCTGACCACACATTCATATCTGAAAAAAAACTTGTTTTAAAACAAACTATAATTAAATAAAACATGAATTAGTGTACAAGTGTTTATGGAGGGGTACTGGTAGATGTAGACCTATGAAGATGGATGGATTGCATGAAAGGTGACATGATCAAGAAGGGAGTGATGAATGAGATGACAGTTCATAGTTATTTGGAGGATTTAATCTGCCTCACCTACATGAGTAGGATAAGGTAGGGAAGGTGGTGAAATAGTGTACAGGACAAATTAAAAATAAGTTTTTAATACTGTAGATTTAAAAAAAAATAAAAGGAAAGAATGTAAAGGTAATCAACATAAATACTATGCTCAAATGTGACAGCTATAGTTTAAAAATCAAACAAATACTATTGCGGGCGTGATCAACTGCCCTAACACCTGGCTGCATGTTGAACGCTACGAGAGAATTCTACTTACTGCCCGGTTGCACATCTTCTATCCTGATATTTTTTCTCGTTTCCTTCTGGATCTTTTCTGCAACGAATTACAGTTTTTGTACAACCTTAAAATTTAATCGACGTTGTTTGCTTTTTTTACTTTCTCTTAAATCGACAAATGTTTTTAAAATATACCTACTGTATTCTGATGCATCCAACATAGGACTTACAACTATGGGATATAATGCAAGTCCTAAAAAACCAACAAATCCCCCAATGAAGACTGTGTATCTCCAACCTTTAAGAGACGACATATTAAAACTATTTTACTGACTAATCTGGTACTTTAAATAATTATCGACGATTTCATAATCACAACATTTACTGAACTGTCAAACGGCAAAATATGTCAAAAATATGTAAACAGATAATAAATACAGATGAAAGGATAAAAATCATTAAAACAACGTCTTTCTATCCCCTCCCTATCGATGTAGATACAATTGTAATATTCTATGTCTATTAAGGTGAAAATCCGATATTTTATTAGCTTGCAGTTACTTTGTGATCCAAATAATAAAAAAAAAATTTTCTGTACTCTTCAGTCGAGTTATGGAGATTTAAGTGACTGAAAATTATTAAAATACGATTTTGTGGCTGTATGTAAATCCTTTGACCTTAATGACATAAAATGATGATGCTTTTTCTCGGGGAATTTATCTCATGAACATTTATGATCACAGTGTTACTACAAAATAGTTTTAACAAGATTTAATGCAAGTTTGTTGCATAAAAAGTTTCATAATAGCCCTTGTACGTAATGGACTTAGACTAAACCACTACATAGAGATTAAGATTTTTTTTACTCTTTAAAGTAGTTTACAGTTCAATTTACTGTTTTCATTATGCAAAATATTATTATGTAAATTCTAAATAACAGATGGGAACCCCAGCGTCCATTGTTGATTGTTGTTGGTACTGTACTGTTAAAACTTTTTCGCGATCATAACAAATAAAAATAAGTTTCTTTTTAATCATCTTTCATTCTTCATTTTTAATTGCTGTTTGTTAAATTTTGTTGTTTCAAGACAGTAATTTGTTATTTGTATATAATGGAAGTATAAAAGTTAATGTGATCATTTGTAATTTGTCCTTGCTAGGTAAAAATGAATGTCGATAGTATGGCTGTAAATATCCTCAAGCGAGGCGTAGAATTCGATACGAAAAAACGTTATACGGAGGCTCTAGTATGTTACCAAGAAGGCTTACAAATTTTAATAGACAGAATGAAAGGTATGTTGAAACAAAGTCTTTTTTAATATCGAGCATAAGACTGTTCGTAGACTAATAGTGTCTTAACAACTCTTGTTTATTTACAGAAGAATGCGACGATGATGTAAAGAAATATTTAAAAGAAAGAGTAGAAGACTATATGGGTAGAGCTGAAAATATTAAAAAGTTGATTGCAAAGCAGAAAGAAAGTGGTAAATTTCATGAACAAGTTCAAATTAAAAATAATTCGACTGGTCATAGTTATAAAACACTTTTTGGTAGATTTCTTGATAAAGATGTTCAATATGTTATAGTGGAAGATCCATACATAAGAAATTTTCATCAGGTGTGTAGTAATTTTCTAAATCATACTAAATATTATAAATCCGAAAGTTTAGATGGATGGATGGATGGATGTTTATTAAAGTTTGTAGCCTAAACGGCTGAACGGATTTCATGAAATTCAGCACAGATGTTGAGCATAGTCTGGAAGAACACATAAGCTACTTTTTATCCTGGAAATAGTTAGGGTTGCATTAATTTTTTATTTTAATGTTTACTCAATAATTCTGCAATGTTTCAACATATCTTATTGCAATTTGGCACAGATATAAAACAAAGTCTGGAATACAAATGGGATAAGTCATCCCCAAAAACTGCCCAGTTCCCAAGGGACACATAGATTTTTAATTATTTACATTGTTCGTCTGTTTTCTAATACCACTCGGACAAGCTAGTATCTATATAAATGTCTTGAAGATTTAATCGGCATTGGGTTTTAAGGCATGAGTACTCAATAATAATACTTGTTACAGTGTCAAAATTTCTTAAGACTCTGTGAGCTACTTGTAACATCTTGCAGTGATTTAAAAAAAATAGAACTTGTTACAACAAAAGACAACAAATCAGCGGATGTACAGATGAAATATTTTAAAGAATTAAGAAACAATTTAATGAAATATAATATACAATTTTTTGCAAAGTATTCAGATACTTTGCATGACAGACAGATTGTGTAAGTATTTATGTTTACAAATAAAAAGGATTTCTATTTTTTTATGTATTGAAATAACTCAAAAACTACTTGGCCATTACAAAACTATGTTATCAGTGAGTAGCAAAGTTTATTTTTTATTGTTTTTTTTTAATTACAAATGGGTGAAGTCATGAGCAATAGCTAATGTTTGATATGTTCAACTAATATAAGGCAGTACAGACGGCATCATCAATCTTCAAAACTAATAATCTTATATTGTTTTGTAATTATTTACTGCTTTAGTCTTGATTGCATTCTTAATTTTATTTGTAAAGTACACAAAATAAAATAAATAAGCTACTTTATTTTATCTTGTGTGCTTCCGAACATCATGGTCACCTTTGCTTAACAGAACATTTCATCAACTTGCCCTTATCTTTATGGAGGGTTGGGACAAAATGTGCTGCTCTTCCATACATTTCTAGCAACCATCATATCTGAATCCACTCCCTTGTTAAGTATATCCTTGTTCAATAGGCAATATGCATATGACACCAATTTACAAGTTATTTAAAGTAACAAAGTTTTTTAAAGTATACTTTATTACTATAAAAACAGCCCTGCAAAGATTTTTTTAAATGTAATGTGATTTAGTGGCAAAATTTAATTATTAAAAAGTGTTTTTTTTTAAATCCTCTTTTTTAGTACTAAAATGCACACTATTGGTTGAAGCAAGTGGCTTATGTAATATGGCTCCGCTGTGTTGTCAATACACAGTTCATTTACATTAGTTTATTTAGAAATACACTCTTGAAGTATTTTACTGTAAATACGATATCAAAATTAACTTTAAAATAAAAAAAAATAATAAATAGAATTATTAATTACTACTTATTTGTACCAGGTATAAAAAAAATTAATCGATTTTTGACTTTTTGACCTTGAGAAGCAAGATACTTTGTTTTTTACATCAAAGTGACATCTGAGCGTATGTTATGAATTATGAATGGAATTTGACATTTGACGTCACGTGTCTTATAACTCCAGTCGCGTTTTAGTCGCTCAAAAATGGTCGTAATTTTATTTCTTAATTTTTAGCTTAATGGTTGAATATTTTCGCGTCATTTTTTTTTCTGGTTATTTTATAACAAGTATAATTGTTTAAAAGAAGAAAAAAAAAAACACATGCATATTCCCTATTGGAATTTTCAATTTATTTACATCATATTCAAATTATATGTTTGTCTCATTTCAGATTAGATTCTGGCTGGATAATAAAAATTGGCAGGGGTTTAGATATTTTTAAACCGCTCGAGAATAAATTTTGTTTAGGCGTCTACGATTTGGATTTGAGACAATGTCATGAAACTACTGTAGATATCATGCATTCGAAGCATGTGAAACAATCATCTTGATGTTTGTAGATTTATGATTAATTTAAGGTTAAATGTTTACTAAATATATTTTTAATATAATTGGCAGTTGTTTTATTTACCTTTTTTTGTAGCTAATGCTAGCTATCAGACGATAATCTAGGCTAGGTCTAGAGAGGACAGCTATCACTAATATAGAGACTTATTCAAAGTAGTTTTCACATACATTCTGCTCCCCCCTTAAAGCCTCCAAAAAATCGTGACGTCAATGGAAAACCATTTAAAAATTGTGTGAATTAATAAAAATTATGATTTTTATGTCTAATAGGTCTGTTTTCGTTGTCTAAACTAAATATTTGTATCAGATATATCCTCTCAATCTCATTAAAGTTTTTTGAGATAAGTTTTAACTGTTTTCTAAAATGGAATAATGAGAGTAATTGAAGGTTCAACAAATAAAAGAAATTTTTTTGGAGTATAGTACTTTATTGTATATACAAAATTAACAATTAAACATATTTTATCATATCTATACATTTAAATACACAATACTTTTCGTTACATTAAGTAGAGGTGGTATCAATATTATAAAATACAAGTAAAACACTATCATCTCTCTCTCTCTCTCTCTCTCTCTCTCTCTCTTCTATTCCTATGTCCCCAAAGTGGGACAGAGGGCGTCCACAGTACGCCGCCAGCTCGCTCTGTCTTGGGCTCTGCGTTGTGTCTCAGACCATGATAGCCCGATTGCCTTCAAGTCGACCGCCACTGAACGCCGCCAGGTATGTTTAGGGCAGCCACGCTTTCATAGTATTTACTATATCATAGTTTGCATTAATAACAAAAAGGAAACAAGATTTTAATAGATTTCATTGCCTTTTTGTTTTTATTAATAAAAACTTAATAAAGTGTTGATTATAAAACTCTGATAGTATAAAACTACCACAGATTAAATTACAATGAGCATTTATGTTATAACATGGCAATACTGAGTCTATAGTTTGAAAAAATAACCTAAACAATACGAGTTTTCTTTTCTATTTTGGCTTAAAAGTCCGAATATCATACTATGAAATAAAAATAACTTGAGTTTGTTTTTACAATTATAACCTAAATATTTCGAATTTTTTGTTCAAAATACAATATAATTACTGGAGCAGAAATGCAAAGAATATCCTCATTTCTGACAATATCAGTTTTATTTGAAAACATATATTTTTAAACTTAAAAATAACCAAGTAAAATATGAGGACTAGCTAACATTTGTTTATGGCCTCTGATATCTTACAAAATAGAAATCATAAATATTGACTTACGAAAATCCATTTTTATTTTATTTACAAGAGTATTTAGTAATATATTTAAAAAGGGTTTTCACTTTCTAGAAATATTTTAATCCAACGTTAAATGGAATGTTACAATAATGCATGAAATAAATTCATTTGTCATGTGTATGTCTCCTTATCGAGTTGTCAGTTTCTGGGAAAAAATGTTAAGATGTAAACATTTTTTCAATATATTCCTCAAATTGAAGCAAAATTACATGTAACATTATAACCTAAAAAGATAAATTAATCTTTTAATTTTCAATATCAAATTTCATGACCCTGTTAAAACTAATAAACCATAACACAAGACCCAAGTGAATGACAGTTTTACTCATTTTTTATGAGTGACCAAACTACTATGACCTGTGACGTCATTAAACTCAATTCTCATGTTTTGTTTACGTATTGCAATTACAATACTCGATATTTGCATGACATTTACCAACTATAGATTGAAGTCGTTCTTAAATTAAACGTAACTTTCTTTTTTTGCTGAAAATAACATTAAAGACTCCATTAAATGTGGTCTGATCATTTCTTCGACGTCTTTTTTATCCTCAAAAGCCTCTGGATGATGTTTGTATAGTGTTCTTAACGCTTTAAGACAATGTATGAGTGTTTGGTCCGGGTTCGTGTCTAGAGGCGGGCGCGATCTTTGCATCCTAACCAAACGGATAAGATGAGGAACGCATTCCAATTGTACCATCTGTTGTGCCACTTCTGGTATCACCGTTAATCTGGAAATAAATGTAATTTAAACAATTATTAACCAATATAAAGAAGAATGTTTTTATATATACTAATATTATGAAAAGTAAAAAAAGATTTGTACTTTTGCATTAATAACTCAAAAACTACTGGGAAGATTTATATTCTTTCATCATTGAAAAACTACGTTGTCAGTAAGTAACTTTGCAACCGTCTTTGATTTCGCGTAAGCGAAGTCGCGAGCAACTATAGGTGAGAAGCAAGCAACCGAAATTCGCCAAAATAACGAAACCAATGATCATGTATTTTTGCATAAAAACTACTAAAAAGCTACGTTATCAGTATCATAGGCTTTATTTATTTTATAATTTTTATTTCACAAAGGCGAAGTCGCGAGCAACATCTAGTCGTTAAGAAAAAGAGATTACAATATTTTTTTACGATCTTATCTGTCAAACCCATTACAAGAAATAAAGTTGACGTGACATGACAGTGTAACACGCAACGTGATGAGAAAAAAAATGGCAATATTTTGTTATAGTCTAACTGTAGCCCCTATTATTTTTATTTTATTATTATTCGTCATTTTTATAATATGTAAATTTAATGTGTTTATTTGTATTTTATGTTTAGACACTTATGAATATGTATTGCTCTTCACAAATGGGGAAAGGGATTGGCTCCTGCAGCACAGGGGAACCTAGTGCAGGAGCCAAGGCTCTCATGAAATGTGTATATTTTTAAAGTGAAATAATAAAGGATTATTATTATTATTAAAGGATTATTATAAGAAATGGAGATAAAATTGGCAAGACATTGAAACACGCAGCGTTATAACAAAAACAGAGATGTCAATATTTTGTTATAGTGTAATTGTAGCCCTTATTATAATGGAGATTGACGTGACAGTATTCAGTAGTACGCAGCGTGACACCAACCTGGCGATAGCTTCAGCAGCATGACAGTGCAGTCTCGCCTGAGCGCGCAGCTCGGCGGCGCGCGGCGCGGGCGCGAGTGACGGCAACGAGCGTGCGAACCACACGAGCGCGGCGCTCGCCGCCGCAGAGCGGGACAGCGGTAGCACGCAGCGTGACACGCGGGACAGTGACGAGATTAGGGACGCTGTTTGCTCCTGAAATGACAAATGTTTTTGAATAGGTGCATTCTTAAATATCTATAACTATCTATCTATATTAATATAATAAAGTGTGAACACACAATTCTTAGTTATTTATGATGTCAGAAATGACACTATGTTTTGGAATATTTTTTTTAATGAAAAGCCCTACACGACACAGTGTAGGCTATATATTTTTACGCTATTAAATTTAGGGGGAAATTAAATTTAAAAAAAATGTTTCATATGTATAACTTTTTTTTACCTGTAGGAATACAGATGTGTTCGGTCCTCTTCGTTTTAATGCATCTAAAAGTTTCTCGATAGTTCTATGTCGTGCGAACACATCAACAATGTCAGACTTGATTTCGTCAGAGTTGACTTCGTCAGACTTCTTCTCCAGTTCTAATTCCCGGACAAGATTGACGAGACACGCAGTACATAGTAACAGAAGTTGACAACAATCGGTCCGTGAGAGTATACCTGAAAAAATATAGAATTATTAAGCTTTAATCTATATTAAAGATTTGTATTTTTGTATGTATTTGATTCACGTAAAATCTACTGGGCGGATTTTAATAAATTTTCACCATTAGAAAGGCTATATTTTTCTAATGTAAAGAGGAAAGAGAAGATTTTTGTATGTATAGAAATAACTCTAAAACTACTGGGCTTGATTTTTGTTATATTTTTTTAATTTTACGCAGACGAAGTAGCGACAGTTTTTCACGTTAAAACTTATGACGATAGAGGGCATTAATATTTATTAACGATATATAGTCACAAAATCTCACTAGATGTCGCTAGTTAGCAAAGTTTTGGATTAAATACTTGGTTGAAAACTTTTTCTGTTTTAGCAGAAACCTCTATTTAAAGAAGGTATCTGTTTTCTTCTTTAAAAGTATAAAATTGTAATAAAAACATACAAATCAATTAATTGATGAAAATATTTTTAATTTTCCTCGGAGTTACTATTCCTCTTATGCTGGGTTTCCGAAGTTTCAATTTATTTTATCATTACCTAGTGATTCGTTAGTTAACTTAAACTGGATTTCAAACGTAACTTAATTTACGTAATTCGGAAACATTTCAAGAATTTAAAGAATCAAAAACAATAACGAATGGTTAAACGTAGCTTAGAAACCGACCGTTAGTGTTTCAAAATTTATTATTTTATAAACTCACCAGTAATATTATCAACGATTGAATTCAGGTAGAGATGCAGTTGTGTGAGGTCGTAGTGTCCCCGCAGCCAGGGCGCGGTGATCTGGGTAAGCACAGTGATAGCTTCTCTCATCTGAGGCTCAGGGTTCGATCTGTCTGATAAGATATCTGATAGAATTTCTATACCACCACCCTGGAAATTAAAAAAAATAAAGATACTTCGATTCAGATTTCTGGTGCAAAATATAGTTCGAAAATAAGGTCGCAAATGATTCATTGATTTTTTAGATATCCAAGAAACATGTAAACTATGTTTATTACAAGCTATACTTTGTCTTAAAAGTGAAAATAAAAATAGAAAAGAAGAAATTGATTGGAATATTAAAAGACTAGGTTTCGCCTGCGACGCTGTCCGCGTGAAATTAAAACACACAACTGATAACGTAGCTTTTTAATGGTGAAAGAATTATCAATAATGTCTCAGTAGTTTTTGAGTTATTTCATTACACAAAATACACTTTCCTCTTTATAATATTAGTATATATAAGTAAGAAGTATAAAATGTCTAGCTTTCGCCTGCGACTTTATCTGCATGGTATCAAAAAAATAATAAAAGCGAGTAGCCTATGTGGGCTTCCAGTCTATCCCCTATATCTTTTGCAAATTTCATCCAGATCCGTTTAGCAGTTTAGGCTACAAACTCCAACAAACATCCATCCATCTATCTAAACTTTCGCCTTCATAATATTACTAGTTTTCGCCCGCGATTTCTTCGCGTGGAATTAAAAAGAAAGAAAGTGAGTCTATGTGTTCTTCTAAACTATCGCCTATATCTATGTAAAATTTTATCGAGATCCGTTTAGTTGTTAGGGCTACAAACTTGTACAAACACCCATCCATCCATCTAAACTCTCGCATTCACAATATTTCGACTTCGTCGGCGTGGTATAAAAAAAAAAGTAAGTAGTAATAATAAGCCTATGTGTGCTTCCATACTATTCTATATCTTTGGCAAATTTCGTCGAAATCCTTTCAGCAGTTTTGGCTACAAACTCTAACAAACATCCATCCATCTAAACTTTCGAATTTATAATATTAGTATGATTACCTCTTCAAATTGTTTGACGGCTTCAGCAGTGACACATACTGTCGCTAGAGCGCGTAAAGACAACGCCTTTATGGAACTCTTATTGCTTTCAATAATAGCAGTAAGCAGAGCTCTCGGTACTCCGCATTCCACGAAAGGTAATTCAGTTATACTCTTCATGATTTTTGAACATTTCTCGTGTAAGGAACTTTCTGTATTCTCGCTTAACATCGCAAGATGGCCGATAGATGTCAGTGTACTCTTCAATATCATATCTGATGGAGGTTCTTCAATTATCGATACTAAGGTCTGAAAGAAATTAATTTTAAAATTATGATGTAGTAATTAAATATGTGAATTGTTAATGACTAGCTTTTGAACTTTATCTAGGCAATACTAACGTTGTTTATTTTTAAATATATCATTTATTATTCGTGTTATTTCATGATTTTTATTAGAGTAGTGACTAGATAACGTGGGGAAAATTTATTGATATAATTTACATGTAATCTATACTGTTATAATAAAGCGTAAACACACACTTCTTTGTTGCCTAAGATGTCAGCAATTACAGCATATTTTTGAATAATTCTCTTTTTAATAAAAAGCCCTACACTTACGTCACGCTTTACGCTAGATATTTTCGGGCCATTAAAGTTAGGGGGTAAATATTTTGGATAAAAACCCTAATGTGGAAAAGAGACCATAAGTTGCTGCCAACATCAGGAAGGAAGATTGCCAAGTTTTGTCATGTCTTGTCATTTTGACATTTGCAATTGACAATTTGACACATGTAAAAAATAAAATAATGTTAAGCTGTTGAAATCTCAAGGGAACAGCTAGTTACATAATATTTGTTAATAAAATTTCTGTATAATATCCACAAACTATGAGATTTATATCTTCGAGAAATTTGCTTAGAAATGTTTTACAAATAAATTAACAATATTAAATTTTTATAAATATTTTAAACATGGTAACATTCAATAAAATATACTTAATGGTATAAATGGCGATTCATAGTATATTTTTATAAGCTAGACATGTTAGAAAACCAGACATAGTAAAGGCCGTAATGATTGATTTCTACTTTCTAAACAGGATGCAGTCACGCATCATTCTAACATTTACATATTTAGAGAGACGGGGAAAACGATTTTGTCGTATCCGTCATTTTCCCGACGTCAATCAATCTTCTATTCAATACAATGATCAAAATTTTACTTTGGTAATCGTGTAATTTTAAAATAAACCGATTTATTTAATATAATAGTATAGACTAGTTGTTGTGACTTCGTGCGAGGGAAATAAAAATTAATAAAAGTCAATGTTACAGTTAAATTACCTTTCTAATGGTGAAACAATTTTTAAAATATGCCCAGTAGTTTTTGAGTTATTTTAATACATACAAAAATACAAATATTTCCTCTTTTTAGTATATACATATTTTTACGTCCGTAGCTACCTTAACTTTTATTTATTTAAAGCTATTCTAATCATTGGTACTTGATTTTAAAATCTTTTAACCTTAACTACTAAAGTTTTAGCAAATTTTCAAATGTTAGTAATTTTTTGATGCCGCAAATTACAAATTTTTATTTATTGGACAAAAACATAAATATAAAAGTACAATAAAGAAATGTTATAAGCGGTACAGAAACCCACAGGATTTATGTGTAACCACTGGTCGCTTAGTTTATAACATATAAAAAATAATGAAGAAACTTAGACTATTTTACTCACAAAACAACGCTGCCTTTCAACGATGAAAGAATTTGAAATTTTACTTTTACGGTACTAAGGCTATTACTCAAAGGTAATTTATTTATTTACTCTATAGACTATATCCAAGTGGGATTAAAACAAAAAACTAAGTAGCCTATGTCTTCTTCCAGACTATCTTCTTCTATGACAATCATCGAGATCCATTCAACAGCTTAGGCTAGAAACTCTAAAATACTAAACGCTTGCATTAAAATTAAAATACCTTCATTTGTTGAACCAGCACCGCTTTCGTCGTCTCTAAGAAGATACCGATCAGTGTATCTAGATGTTTCTGTACTAGATTCCATTGCGGATTACTCTCGTTCAATTCTAATTTGACATCTTCACCGATATCGATTAATTTCTGTAGATACATTTGTAACGATACTTTGATCTTGTCCCATCTGTCAGGTGTTTCGCCGGGCGGCTTCGTATTTAATGTTATACTATGAGCTAACACAAATTCATTAATGTTAGCTACAAGCAGACATATTTGTTCTTCTCCTGTGTTGTCCGATTCTATTTGCCTGGAAAAAACAGATAGCTTGAGAACTTTATACTCTAACTCGCGATCGCGACTCCTTCCGCGTGGATTTTAAAAGAAACAAAAGAAGGTAGCCTATGTATTCCTCCAGACTATGCTCTACATTTATGCTAGATCGATATCTGTTCAGTCGTTTAAACGGCAAACTATAACAAACATCCTTCCATAACTTTCGTAGTTATGATATTAGTAAGATTGAATGGCCGATGCGTTTTGCCACTTTATAGTATAAAAATGTATTCATTTTGTGGCTTTGAAAGTCTATTACTTTGGTAAGTCGAAAGAAACTACTACAACTAAAATAGTCATGGATAGAATATAGTCCCCAAAGACTGATTCCCATATTAGAATCTTTAATGGTAAGATTTGTTACCACCAAGAAAGTATTCAGATTGAATTTAGATGGCTATAAAGGTAGAAGACCGAAAAAAGTATGGAAGGATTGCGTGAAAGAGAATGCTTAAGGGAGTAAATTCAGATATGACGGCTGTTAAATATGTATGGAAGAGCAGCATACTGTGCCGACCCTTAGGGATAAGAGCAGGTAATTAGTAACTACATACCTTATAACATCACTATACTGGTGTACAATGATCTGTCCGTGTGTCTGCACCTTTTTAATATTGCCAGTAATAGTAGCGGAACTGGCAGAAACCAATGCTTTCATCTCAGTACCTAAAGGTTTGCTCTGCAATGTCGTCATACATTCATTCTCATTGGAACTGATCAGATCACACAGCCAGTACTGCACAGGTTCGGGTTTACGATCACATAACCGCTCTAATGTTGTCTGGTCTATGCTTCTTTCTCTGTATAGTATCTCGTTTTGATTGTTTAAAACCAATCTGTAAGGAAGTCGATTAGTTATTAAAAAATCTAGTGTGGTTATTTAAATGTGATTTATTTCTGGATAGAACTAACTATTTATTATAGCATTTGTTTCAACAATAAGGTTTAGAGCGGGCGTACACCTTTGACTAAACTATAGAATAACTGTTTTGCAGTTGTCGATTATTTCGCAGCTAATTCAACTGTTTAGTTGCACAACTAAAATTGAGTAGTGTACGGACCTCCAAATTAACTCATAGGAATCAAAGCGAGACTAAACAGTCGTTCGATAGTTTAGTAAAAGATGTACGCTCTTAGAGTAACTTTAAACGACTTATATAAAAAAGAATTAAATAGGTCTGAGTGTTTCAGTCACTGTGTTGTTTTTAGATTTGCTTTCAGTTGCCAGTAATTTGTGAAAGGTAATATTTAAAAAACTTACCCGCCATTGAAATCGCCTATCAAATTAACTCTACAATTTTTCGTACTTCTCGGTGTTTGAGGTTTATTCAAAAATTCTTGCGGTGCTATCATTTTTGGTGTTGAAGTACAAGCGAAGTTTAATTGCAAATCTGTGAAGTCGATCTCATATTTTAACTTCTCCCTTTTGGAGTCATGCGTTAGGTCTTTATCCGATTTTGTATCGGAATCATAAGGTATTTTTTGTTTGTCTCTAAACTGCGGTGGTGGTGTCACCCTTCTTGTTTTTACGTAGTTAATTTCTTCTTCATTGTCCTTTGCTTTTAAGTTAATATCACTTTCTGTTGCAACCAGTCTTTCTGTATAATTAGGTATTAGTAATTCTTTCTGAGGATGACCAACGATGACCCAAGAATTTTGTTCAGCAGATCTCGGTAGACCTAAAGAAGGTACTCTGCTACCATTCAAAACACCACCAGCGTGACTGTCTACTACTCCAGGCTTTTCTTTCTTAGTAGGAAATAATCTAAATAAATCCTTCGCCCTTTCAGCTTTAACCATTCTCTGTTTAGCTTTTGGTCCTGGTTTTTTATTCGGTTTTAAGTGAAGACTGTCCATAATATTTTTACCTAATAACGCTTTGGTAGGTTTGTGCATTGGCTCTGTTTGGTTTTGTATATCTTTAGGTTCATCTTCATCAATGTAACCTAGTGAATGATAACCTCCTTGGATGTCTAAAATTTGCTGATCAAGTCTCTGAGCCTCAAAGTTTAAGGATTGATTTAATCTATTTCTTTGGAATTTAGGTGTAGTACAAATGGGTTCTTCGTTTGAATTACTTCTCTTGTATTCAGGTTTTATTGGTGCTATTCTTTCCGTTGGTACATAAGACACGTTGGAGATTGGTGTACGAACTCTTGGTTGATTGTTTACTGCAATTTCATTGTCATGAGACAATTTTATGTATTCTAAACTGTCATCTGATTTGTTCTTGCTGGTTTCTAAGTCCTTGACTTTGGCTACTTTAATAATATTAGAATTATCACTGTTAGTACTAGATACGAATGTCTTTTTAATTGGATATTTCTTCGAAGGACTTATTATATTTATATTACTACTTGGTACTTCTTTGGTATCTTTTTGGATTGTACGTTTGTTAGTAATGGGATTAACGTTGTTAACTTTCTTACTTTCTACTTTATTTAACTTCGGTGCAATTGTTTTGTCGATCATTTTTTTCGAATTGTCTTTCTCATAATTGTTATTTATATTTGTTGGTGCTGGATACTTCGGTTCGCCATCGTTTTCTTTGTCATTGTCCTTTAACAGATCCATATGTTCTTCGTCTGTGTGTACTTCGTAGTACTTTTGTAAATCATACGGCGTTTGTATAACACTGCTACTTCGTAATCTTGGCTTTGGAGTCGGCGCTTCAATACTGACATTGTTTGACGATAAGGAATTGTCAACAACATCTCTGCTATGTTCTGTGTTTTGTAAATCAATTGCTTGTTTCACTGTAACGTTTTCATTGTTGTTGGAATCACTGCTGTTCGTGGATTTTATTGTGGAATTACTATTATCTGCGGGTGGATAGTATTGTAAAGTCGGTGGGGAGCTATCGGAGTCTGAGAAGCCAGAGTCCTGGCTTTTGTGACTACCGGGACTGCCATGACGCAATGGCCATTGATTAATTTGGGCATTATTAGGTGCTATATTATCTGTGCTATTGTTTCTCTGTTCTGGTTGGTTAGCTATCCAATGCGGTAGCTGAGGTTCCCAGTCTTGTTCTTCTCTCCTATTGTTTTGGTTCCACGGTTGCGGCGCCACTGGGCTTCCGATGTTCGGCGGTGTGTCACCCCACCATACTTTGCTTCGTGTACGTTGAAAATTCGACATCCTGCAAAGAGACAATCAGGTATTAAGTGAATTATCCGTGGGAATGTTTGCGGCGACGGGTGTTAATGATCGGTATCCAAGTGACGTAATGTCTTAGGTCATTATAAAGACTTTAGTATAAGAGGTGCGGCTGAGCATGACCGTTTGTATTACCTTCAATCTAAAGTATTTGGATTATTGTTTAGAACTAACTTTTTGTGTAACAGTCATGGGAATTTGGATTTTATATGAAAAAGTTTAAATAAGACAAAAACTAAGAGCAAAGCAAGATATGAGACTATCTTAATTTTAAGCTGACATAATTGTTTTTTTTTCGGTAAACATTGTTTATTAATGGACAGTATTAACTATTATCCTCTTTTATATTAAAACAATGGATGACAAAGAGTAGTAATTTCCCAAAGATGTTTTTGTATGAAAAAATACTTTTTCTAAGTCCAAGCAACCTTCACATACAATTATTATTATAACTTAGCAACAGTAAGCAGATGTTAAAAACCGTTGCAGAATTTATTGTAAGTGCAAACCCATTCATGGTACAAACACTGATTTCGACACCCCTCATTTTACTTTACAAAAAAAAAATTTGAAAGTGCATTGTACTAAATTTTACACTAACTTTAAAAATAAGATATTACAAATTTTTGCATATGTTTGTTAATTATTTTAGTTGGTTTTTTTTTTCTAAGTTCATAACAATATAAGAGTAATGAACTAATCATTCACAATCTCGGTCATCGGTTGTATGAGTCAATACATTTAACATTGTTAACATGTTACAACTAATTTTAAACTTAGTCATTGTGTGAATTACCCATCTTTATCATAATTGACCGGATGTACTAAACAGAAGCTGTTTATAATATTTTTTAGGTTATGATTGGTGCGTTTATAAAATCTAAATAATACAACGAAAATATATTTACATCTCTTTAAATAATTTATAATAATTAAATGATTTTATTTATTTATTTATACAAAACACAAAATAACAGTTCACGTATAATTTTACAAATACATTTCACATAATTTTATTTTTTACTTTTAATTTTTATAAGTCTACTTTGTTTAATAATATGATTGCTTTTGTAGTTTTGTGAATGTACAGTTAGCTACAAAAATATGTATACACTTACAAAGCTTTCGACACAAAATGCTTCGGTTTAAAAAATCTGCATGCACATTCGTATGCTTCCAAAAATGATTAAATATGTATAATGTACTGACGAATACTTGGATACGTATTTTTTAAACCAATAATATACAAACTTAATTTTCGTAAATGTATACATTATTTTGCAGCTGACTGTACTTACGGTATTACCAGTGAGACATTCGCGGTATGTTCAGGTCTATTAGCAACATTTAGCACAACTTGACCCCGTATTATGGAGCTATTGCGGCTTTGTTTTAATGAACAAGGGTAAGCAGATTATTAGTCATTAACAAGGAGCTGGGTAAATTTGATAAGGTCTAAACACTCAGATCTTTGAGAATAACCCTAATTTTAATTAATAACCATGTATACATATAATAAAATTGGAGTGTCTGTTTGTAACATCAAAAGAAAAATTCAAGATTTTCGCACATGCATTGCTGAAAATAGCATTTACATTTTTTGTCTGTCTGTCTGTCGTGGACAACCGTTAGTTTAAATATAAGATAAGAGCACGATTTTTTTTAATTACACAAATACATAGTTGAATGTGTTTGTAAAAACAGAAAGGTGTTCAAGCTTGTATGTCCGTTTTACTTTTATAGGGGCTGCGGGATAACGAAAATGTTTTACTATTTACGATTATTTTATTACAGTAACTGTGGTTTTATTAACTACATAAAAACATAAATTGACAGCTAAATTAAATTGTGTGTATTATGAAATTTCTACAGCAACAAATAAACTTAATAACACATCTTGTAAAAATGGTTGTAATCTACTGTTACTTATTTTACATATTTAGCTACCGAATACCAGGACAACATAAAGATAAGGTATGGCCAAATGATAAACACAAGTAGCCTACAAATGTTATCAACGCAACAAGTCTTTGACCTTCGTGGGAGATAGGCGCGCCCTTGTGTGTACTTCCTTTACTTTCTGCACGCCTGGTACTTTCAGATACGCTTCATTGGCAACAATCGATATTTTTTTCCATGTTTCTCGAACTTACTGTGTTTTACATAATTATTACAAAAATTAATTATACTTGAAAAAAGCATTCTACTTATTGTTAAATAATTTTGAAAATACTTTACATTACTCGATTGTTTTATTATCTTACTGTGATTTCAAAAGGAAATCGAATTTGGAATTGAAAACAAAGAAAAATTTTTATTTTTAATATTGCAAAATCATGTCAGTAAAGGAATTTCCCATCAAATCCAGAGTTGGCAAAAAATTGCGCGCCAAAACAATTTACTCCGGATGCTATAAAATAACAACGGACGTAACTTTTTTGTAATAGTTACGCATTATAATTTATAAGGATATAGGACGCAAACATTTTTTTTACAATTATTGACAGAATCGCGTTCGCGTCAGTTATGTGGTTCGAATGCAGCTGGCGTAACGGTCGCGTGTCATCTGCTCGTCTGCCATACGCCACGCTCGGTTTGGCAGTACGGCACGCGCCCTTTGCCTCGAGCCGTGACAAAAAAAAAAACATTGTTATCGAATACATTCGAAAATTTCCAGTAGCACTAGAAAAAACTGTATTTAAATACTTACGTTCGATGCAAAAATCTGTAATTATTCTTTTTATTGAAAAATATTTGGTATTTTAATAATATTCAAGATAATTATTTAACTGCAATTAATGTAAAATAATTACTACAATATTTATTGGAAATTGAAATACTACAGTAAATGGAAAAATATTTAATAAATTATTAAAACAGATTCAAAGAAAATAAACCGTTAGTATTCACACATTGAAGCGAGTCGTGTCATCGTTGTAGTGATTGGATCTCTATGGTTACGGCCAGGTGTTGCGAGCTCGGCGGCGACCCCGCGATAAGGGCCCACCGGTTTAGCGCCCCTGAACTCTCTTTCAAATTATTATTGTGCAATACGAAATGTATACAGGATGTTTTATCTTACGTAAAGATATTTTTCATGAATATATAAAAGACAGTATTCGCTTTGCCTTATTTTTTTTCCTATTTAAGATTCTAATAATTGATATTGTTTTATAATACAGATGTCTAAAGTCAACCGCAGACTATTTGTTCTACTTACATACCTGTATTGCTATTAGGTATTGTTACAAATATGTTGCCCATATAAGAAAATTAAAAAATCAGGACAAAAATATTTAAGTGAACTAAAATTATTTTAACATAGTCCTATATATAAAAAGATTTAAATACGGGACAACTAAAATTAGTTGATCCATCAAGTAGAACTACATGGGCTGGGATCTTTCAAGACTTGTAATTTCGTCGGATGAATTAAAATAAACAAATCCTTATTGTAAACAAGTCCGTAATAATTATGAGACATATGGACTCTACATTTACGTAACCAGAACGCAGCACTTGAATAAGCACAGCAAGAGTTGTAAGAAATTAATTAGCATAAGAAACGATGGAATTCAGTTACACATTATCTTTCATTATAATGTTCAGAAATCATTTATGTGACAACTGTTCAAATTATCATTACAATTCGTATTTAATTATTAAGATATTTTAATACAATCCCTTTAAAAGTAAATCAGCTTTAAATAAATCAGACTATCTTTAAAACTGTGTATTTAATAATACATTTATTTTAAAAATTTCATATACTAATAAAATTGCGACTCGAAAACTATAAAAGAACATTTCAATTACAAATGATATTTTGTATCAATATTAATAAATAATTAATACCCATAATATTTTTTATTAATAATTTTATAATCAAACATCCTGTATAAGGCATCTCCCCTCATTACCGCTACACTACCGATTCCCTAACATCTGTCCACACTAGACAGTGTTACTACACCCGATACCCGATACTTGGGACTTCCGTACCAATGGAATGTATCGAGTGAAAGTTTTTTACATAACGAATACTCGACACTCAAGAACATCTTTTTATTAATGCGACATAACTCAATATTACTTTATAAAGTGATAAATATAAAAGTCCATATTTTACATTACATAACTTATATGTAGTTATACTAATATTATCAAGAAAAAGATTTGTTTTTTATGCGTTGATGTAACTCAAAAACTTCTCGGCCAGATTCTGAACTGATTAAAAAAATTCTTTTACTGTCAAAAAGCTATGTTCTCACTGAATAACATAGGCTATATTTTTTATTATTTTTAATTCCAGGCGGACGAAGCCTCTAGCAACAACTAGTCATTAAAAAAAGTTACTTTGCTAAGCTAGTTTGTAAAAAATGGAAAAACGGTGGTCGAAGGTTTTACAGTAAAAATTGTGGAACAATAAAAATAGATCCAAACTATTCCGAGTAAATACCGAGTAATGACAACAAGAGAAACCTTTTCTTTTAAAAAATAAAATTACTTATTCAGTACCTTTGTTTTATGTGAGTTAATTTCTAAGTGTACCAGAGTTACACTCGGTTACACTTTCAACGTTCCCGTCTAATGGCCAGCACGCGTCGTGGCATATGGACGATAACTTTAAAATAAAAACACTGTGATCGTCCACACGTGCCTACGTTTATCATTACAAGTCGACAAAACGAAATAAAAACACTTACGGTTAGATGTTTATTTGAAAAAATAGAAGTAATAGATTTACATCATGTTATATTTTTGTACAATTTCTATATTTATACTATTATAAAGAAGAAAGATTTGTTATTTTGTATGTATTGATATAACTCAAAAACTACAGTGCCGATTAAAAAAAATCTTTTACCATTAGAAAGCCACGTTATCGCTGAGTAACATAGGCTATGTTTTTTAAATTCCACATGGATGAAGTCGCGAGTAACAGCTAGTTTACTAAAAGTAAAGAGCCAAATAGGAATTTGT